TCTTTAGGTTAATTAAACTAATAGAGCTCTACTAAAAAAGTATTAAGTATAACTTAACGTTAATTAAGGTTTGGTTTAATTATTATAAATTCACTTTTAACTAGTATAAACTTAAGCTTCTAGAGATTTAGAATATTAATAAATCTAGTTATTATATTAGCTATTTTACTAGCTAAAAATATATTATTATATTATAAAGTAAATAGAAATAAAATATAGCTTTAGAAGTTATTACTTTAGTAAATTATAAGTTATATATTCTTATAAAATATAATAATATTATTAGTAGTATTACATTAGTTTATATTATATTTAAAATATAGCTTATTATAGCTTAAGCTAACTATAATATTTAAGAGAGAGTATATTTTCTCTAATTATTTATTACTTTCTTTAACTAAGAGATTATATTAGATTTTATTAAGTATTTTAATAACTAGTTATATAAAAACTTAGCTAAATATTAATGCTTTAATTTTATAATAGAGGAGTATTTTAAAGTTAATATTTATAGTTATCATTTTAATAACTTATTTATTTTTAGTATAAAGCTAAATTATTATACTAAATATATAGAGATAGCTTAATATATCTCTATTAAGAGATTATATTAACTATTATTTCTAAATAGCTTTTTTAGTTATATTAATATCTCTTTTATAAAATATTATTAAGATTATAATATTATTATTAGCTTTTTCCTATTTTATATTATATATCTATTATGGCTAATAGATATAAGAGTTTTCTAGCTATTTAAAAAGTATTAATAAAAAGCTATATAATATTAACTTTCTAAAAATGCCTTTATATTTATAAGAGGTAACTTTATTAAAGCTTTTATTAGTATATTAAATACTATATTTACATTAATAAATATTATAAAAAGCTTTAAAAAGTTAAATATCTAGTCCATATAACCTAAAGTTATATTAAAACACTTTATAAAGAAGATATAAAAAGCTAATATTACTATATTAATTTACTTTTTTATTTTTTTACTATATATAGATTACTTTACTAAAATAGACTTTCTAATTAATTATATTACTAAGAGGTATATACTACTTTTTAGTTTACTAACTTACTAATAATATTACTATATAACTAAATATCTTAAAAAAGGCTAAATCATAATTTATTAAAGTAAAAAGTTTATATAAGATAGAAATATATATCTTTAATACTATATAAAAAGACTTAAATAAAGTAGATAGTAAAGCTAAACTATTTATTTATTATTAATATACCTTTTTTTAAATATTATTAAATAGTAAAAGAGGTAGTTTATTAAAGCTATGTCAGTAGAGATTAAATATTAATATATCTATATAAAAAGAGAGGCTAAGAAATAATACTTAGAGGTATATATAGAGTACTTAAAAACTAAAAAGTAGTTAATTAATAGTAAAATAAAAATATTAATATTTGAATAATAGTTCTGTTATATTAGAAGAAATATTAATTTTATTACATTTAATATAAAAAACCCTTATTAATTCAATAAGTTTTAGTTTATGTTTATAGTTAATATAATTAACCTTAATTTTAAGCTACTACTAAAAGAAATATGTAATTATATAAAATATATAGTAAAGCTTTTAAATTAGTTAGATATTAACTAACTATTATTAGATATAGTAGAAATATCTACTAACTTTATATTTAACTTAGATATTTTTATTAAAGCTAATAATCTTATTAAAGATATTATTAATAATATAGTATTAGAATTAATAGTTAACTTTAATATTAATAATAAAGTTAATAATAACGTTATTAATAAGTTTAAACTACTTACTTTACCTCTACTATTAATGCTAACTATATTTATACTAATAATAAAACATAAATTAAAATATTATATTATTATAGAGAGGGTTAATACTTAGAAGGCTTAAGAGGTATAATTATAAATAAGAATAATATTTATAGTGCTTTAAAGTTAAACTTAAAATAATTATGCTTAAAATAAGCTTATAAATAAAGATATAATAATTATAAAGTTATAAATAGCTATATAATTATTTTAAACATACTATTAGATTATGTATAATAAGATAATTATAGCTATTATATTTTTATTATTATAAAATATAGTTATAGGTAGTTAATGAATATATAAAGTTAGTAATTATAATAATGAAGTATTAAATTAACTACTTTTAGTGTTTTAGGTAGTAAGGGTTTTTTTCAGTAGTAATGGGTTTTTCCCCCCCCTATATGAGTAGGGGTCTTTAACGTTAGCCTATGCCGCTAGGACCCCCAGGTACCTCCCATGGACTACCTATTCGTACCTAGGGCACATTCTCCGGACTCTACCTACCTACCTACCTGGACCTTACCTACCTACCTACCCACCTACCTACTACCTACACCACACCTACCGCAGGTAAGTACGACAATGGAAGACACTGCGCGGAACAGTGATCGAGGGGTTGGTATCTCTACTTCCACTCCGAGTCTAACGAGTTCAACAGATTGACACTCATCTTTCCCTCTTCACTTTTGACGGCGTGTGAAATGTATGCCGGGTACATTTGCAGGTGAAATTTGAAATTCGAAATTGAGGTGCGACTTGCGATGCGCGGTCTTTTCGTCAACTCCACGAATACAACGGCAACCACCCATCCACGGCACTACACTACCTAGGGGGCCGATGGGCATGGCATCACTTTCCATTCACTTTCGCTGCGAAGCAGAATGCGAACCAGCGACCTCCCCCACTCTCTTGGACGAGTGGAGGAGAGAGGTCCCCGATGCGACGCAGCGCGCTAGGGCTCGCTAGGTGTCCGTAGTGAGCTAAAGTAGCTGCCTTGCCATGTCCGCCTTGCGGGGAGCCAATCTATCTCTACCCTCACCCTCCTTTTCTCGCCTGTCAATGTCAACCATCGCTGCCATGCCATGCCATGTCATGCAGCGCTCTCTTTCGCACTCTCTTTTTCTCTCGCTCTCTCGCTCTCTCTGTGTCGTCTCGACCGCCTGCCCCTCCGACACATTTGTCACTCTCCCTTTTTCCACTCAGAGCCCCCCCCCCCCCCCCCCCCCCGTCGGCGATCTTTGCTTGCTTTTGCTCAGCTCCTGACTAGAACCCTGCATCTTACTGCTGTTCCACTTCCTCGACGGCCGCCGCAATGGGTTACCACCTAGTGATGTATACTACCTTACGCAGTAGAGTTTGACTCCCGTCGTCGGTATTGAAATAATACCAGGGGTTCCCTTACTTACAAAACACGTTGCGGCGCGGAACAAGTGGACGCTTCGACCAGTCTCCCATGCCAATCTCCCGAGACCTGGTATTCTTTATTTCTTTCTCCGTTCCTTGCTCGCCATCTCTCCCCTCTAATACGATGACCCTTCTGCCATTGGCTGTGCCATTGGCTGCAGACACGACATCCCTCCGGCCCGTATCGACACTCCACGGCCCATCATCATCCCAGGACCTGGGTCTTGGTCCAGCCATGGAATCTGGAAACTGGATGCTGTACGGATACACCTTCTCTAGACTGCCCCAGTCCGGGGCTTCTCGCGCTGCAGGCTCACGCATCTTAAAGCCAACGACAAGAAATCCCTGCTGAAATGGATCAAATACCTCTATCTGGGGCGGAACGCACCGTGGCCAATAAGACTTATCAACCCAAATTACCAATACCCTCACCACCGCACCTGACCGACACTTCCGACGGCCGACAGGATCATGACGAAAAAGACGCCTTGCTTGAGTGGAATCGGCTTGATCGAGTTGAGATGGGCTGAGTTGGCATTCTTCTGCTGCAGACGAGACCTTCTGCCCATGACGCCAGACGTCTTGATTCGCCAGCCGTAAGGCAACTGAAAAAAAGGCAACCGACGTGCCGTCCTTCTGCCTGGATCTGGAGACAAGGGCATTCATACAGCATGCCTTACCTACTCAGGACGACTCAACAGAAACACCTCTAGTACCTGCCCTTCCTTCGTGGGGACAGAGACAGGCATCCCAAGGCGCAGCGGCCAGCCCTGGCGTCTCTCTACCCACCCTCCACAACCATCACCACCATTATCTGTTGCCATGATGGTTCGCGCCCCCCAGGGGACCCCCCCATGCCCTGCACCAACCGGCCGCGATGCCATCCTGTATAATTTTATGTACATACTTACACATGCAAGCCAACAGAGGCTTGGGCTTGCTATCTCGTCCGCAGCCTTTGGTGTGCTAAGGTTGCCAGCACGCGCTGCGGAGGGCGGATGTTGCATATGCACACCCCTGAGCCCCAGGCAAGAAGTAGGGTAGGGTAGGTTGCAGGGAAGATGGTGTTGATGATGATGGGCCGCTCAACCGCAAATCCTTGCCGTCCTTTCACTGGCCCTCACCTCTCTCTAACTCGCTCTTCCCTTCCGTCACCCAACTCCTACGGAGTAGGAGTACATACACTTGCGGCTCTGCTTGAGTACGTATCCCTCCTTCCCCGGCCAGTCTCGGGGTTCTCTGGTCTCCCCAATCTCTCTCTTCGGCCTCTGGCTAGGGAATGCCTGGCTGGGTGCCCTGGCAGACTTTTGTGTATCCACCATGCAGTATGTGAAGTGCACCTTGCCGACTTATAATACCCTCTGCTCCGCCACTGGACGCTGGAGGTAGGTCCCCTTGATGCCATCATCAAGTCTTGTGTTGTTCGTGCCAAGTGTGAAGCGGGTTTCTTGTGTGCTCTCGCATTCTGTCAAGCATTTTCGTTCATATAATTGTTCCCTCCCGTCATCATCAAAGTCTTAGTTTGGACTTGTCCTCCCTATCCTCACTCCACCAGCCCTATAGCCTTGTCAAGGACGGGTTCATTCCGTCATCAGGCTGAAGACCTCCTCGGACTGCACCGACACTAACACGCCTCCTGCCTCCTCTGGACAAAACACATCTTTCAATATTGCACCACCCCAAGGACATATAAAACCATCAGTTGCCTCGCCACTGGCCTACTTTCAGAACCGTTTTCTTGGATTGTACTACAGACCCCGCACAATCCTCCGCCATGGACTACCTCTACCAGAATGTCCATCAGGGACATGCTCACCAAGAGCAGGTATACTATGACCAGCAGAGCTTCACCCAGCTGCCTCTCACTTATATGGACGGATCAATGGCGCCAAACTCTGGCCCACCAGTCGACCCTAGCTTCGAATACTCTCAACCACAGTTCCCGTCGACATGGCCCAGCCAAACGCACCAGATCCAGCAGTACATGGAAGGACCCAGGACATCTTTCTTCATGGCTTCCCAGATGCAAGCAATGCAGAACCTCAACCGCCCAACCCAGACCATGAACCCTCTTCCTGCCGCGTCGCAAAGGAGACACGGGTCTCCTTGCTCCCAACAGACTCTGTCCAGCAGCGACTCCCACAGTCCTCCCACGGAAAGCGACGTTCTCCCTGCAACGCCTCCAGACCAGTCAGCAACTTCTCCTTTCATCCAGCACAAGCACTTTGCTGCTGTGGGATGGGAGACGCAACAATACCAAGCCCACGCACTTCTCGGCATGGGATTCCAGGGAAACGCCTATGTCAACCCGCACGACGTCAACAGCACCCAGGCCATGTTCGAAGAGGAAGTTGTCCCAACAGACTTCAAGCCCAGCAGGACATTCAGCTTCTACACTGAGTCTGATTCACTCAGCATTGCTCAGAACAGCGCCTTCACCTCGCGACAGATCACTCCTGAGCCCATTATTAAGAAGGAAATCCAGCACGTCGAACAACCCTTCCCTGCCTCCTATCCAGACCCCGAGCCCACCAAGTACGAATCCCCAGAGCCAACAATCAAGGCCGAGATTCCCGCCTTCGACGACGATGAGAATGACTTGGACTTCAAGCCCAAGCAATCATCATCGAGGAAACGCAACCGCAATCCCAGCGCCAAAGCCCTTTCCAGCTCGCCCGAGAGGAAGAGGTCAAGGACCAGTAGCAACAGCCAAGGATCCAGGGTCAGCGCAGCGGTTCCTTCCACCCGTGGGTCTAAGATTCTCTGCACTGAATGCAAGACCCCTTTCTCGGACGAGAGCACGTACCAGAAGCACATGAAGCAGCACCACACGCGTCCCTTCGTCTGCGTCTTCAACTACGCCGGCTGCCCATCCACCTTTGCCAGCAAGAACGAGTGGAAGCGCCACGTGAGCTCCCAACACCTCGCCCTCACCTACTGGCTCTGCACCCAAGACGGCTGCGACAAGACCACCAACCCACCAAACACTCGCCGTTCTTCTTCTTCCTCTTCGTGCTGCCCCGACTCCCCGACGCCCCCTGCCCTGCCCAACGGCGCCATCTTCAACCGCAAGGATCTTTACACCCAGCACGTTCGACGCATGCATGTTCCGCCAAACGTCCGCAAGTCCCAGAAGCAGAAGAAGCCCTGCCCCGAATGGGACGAGCACCTCAAGGGTCTCCAGGCCGAAGCCGAGCAGACTCGCTGCGACCTGCCACGACACATGCGCTGCCCTGCCGTCGGCTGCAACCACGAATTTAACGGCCCCCAGGCCTGGGACGAGCGCATGGAGCACGTCGCCCGCCACCTCGAGCGCGCTGCCGACGGCAAGGAGCCTGTCGTCCGCTTTGGCGGCGAGGACGACTTCACTCTTACCAACTGGGCTTCGAGCCCACAAGTCTACGTTGTCCGCAGGACAAACACCGCCGAGGGGTGGGAGCTCATAAACCCGCTCAAGGGCGAGGTTGGTCCCTCCTCAGGCAACGGGAAGCCTGGCAGTGGCACTGGCTACGTTGCCCCGTCGTTATCTTCCTCGCCCCTCAAGGAGATTGTCGTTGCTGGCTGCTCCGATGAAGACGCGGAGGGCGAGGATGAGGAGTAGACCTCCCTCACCTGAAGCTTTCTACGTTTCTTTTTGCTAGTTTTACTACCCAATCTTGCTTTCTACTAGAGATGTCTGTCGTGGCATTTCAAGGCGTTTTAATTCGCAAGCGTCTTCCACTTTTTTGTTGATACCTCTTTTCTATCACCATTTCTATCTAGCTATCTACGAGTACATTTACTCACATGGGCGGTGTTTTTGATTTTTTCTCGTCCTTCAAACATGCTACTTGGGTCTGGTTCTGCGACGGGAAAACGCACAAAAAGATGAATCATTAATAGGGCGATAGACCAGGCACACATGGGATGGGATGGGGAGGGGCACCGGACTTCATGATTGTTATGACTTTCAGACATTGATAGTATATTGATACCAATTCGATCTGTGCCCTTCAATGACACTCAGTCTTCTCCTCCATGCTACGCGATACAGTGCAGACTTGCACCTTCGTCGCCTCCAAACTGGTTTGATGAGCACGCGGCTCCCCCTCCCACGCGAGCCCCTGAGCACCATGCAACCACCACGACCTTTTGACGCTCCCAGCCTTGCATCAAGTTGAACCAAGAGTAAATATGAAGCTTTTACCGCGCTTAAGGTCGCCTTACGTTGACCTCCATTGTGTTTGAGCCTGGCGGAAACGACGCACCTACCTACACTTCGCGGCAAGCAGCTGCGAGATGGCTTCGCGCGAAACTGGACTTACCGACACGACCAGTCCACTTACACGAACAAGCACCGCCAAACCCGTCGCAATCTCCAGCGATGGCCAGCGGCAGTCCGGGGGCAGCCCGCAAACCCTGAGTAATGCGGCTCAATCGTCCATTCGCTCTCCCTTCTGGGCGCTAAACCAAACAGACCAGACCAGACCAGACCAGTGCTCCTGCTGCCGCTGCCGCCGTCCACTGCCCTGGGGCGTTGTTCCGCCCGGGTGATGTGCGTATCTGATGCTGACAGGTGGCCAGGTGTCGTCGTTCCGCGCCTCAGGGCTGCATCTCGCTACGGCAGCAGAAAACGGTGTTTCTCTCGGGTCTCTCGCATGTCTCTCGTAGCGCAGCTGCGCGCCGAATCCTCTTACCGTCTCCCGTCAGCATCTTCATTTCGAGATTTCAAGGTTCTGACGCCCCATGGGTACAGTACACATCCATTCCGCCCCATTCCGCTGCCCCCTGTGCGGATGTTCTGGCCCCCAAACCCGGCGGCCCCCATCTTCATCTTCTGCTCCTCTGGCCAACCGAGACGTACAACATGGGCAAAAAGGACTGACAGGGGCGCACCCGCGCGCGGGAGAAAGAGAGAGAGAGAGAGAGAGAGAGAGAGAGAGAGAGAGAGAGAGAGAGGCATGTCAGCACTAGTACACGTTGGATACCGGTGCGGCCCTGCAGCTGGGCGGCGGCGGCCCTTGGGGGGGGGGGGGGGGGGGGGTTGGTATAATAAGAGGTGATTGATGAACGGCTTCTTTGCCCGTCATTGGGGAGGGAAGACGGCGGTGGAGACACAGCCACGCGGGTCGCATGGCAGCCAGCCCAGGAGGCCGCGTTCTGAGGGCTAACTAGCTCTGGTTGCGGTTTAGAGTTTTTCGGGTTGGGAAGATTCAACGTTACTCCTATGCCCGGCAGAAGGCCCTCTTCGCGTTGGCTTTTGGCTGGCCGAGCCGTTGCTCGTTGGGAGGAATGAAGGAACGGGGGAGAGAGGCGCGATATGACAAAGGGTACGGTATCCGGAGGATTCTCCGAAGTAGTATCTAGGGGCGCAGTCAGACTCTTGGCCTGCGAGAGAGCATCATATTATATGCTTGTTCGAGGCGTGACGGCCTTCGCTGGCAGTGCAGTCCCAATAACCAACATATGCAGGCGGAATGACAAATATGCAGTGTGCATATATCTTCTTCCATTTGCAGTTCGTATCTTGTTCACTCTCGTCCTGGGCGAGGATAGGCAGGGCCCCTGGCACAGTAAACCACCATCTCGGGACCGAAGACGAGCTTGAAGGCATCGCGATGTCTGTTGGAACGGGAACGGGGGGCGGGCAACAAGGTCACGAGGTGGAGATGGAGGGCGGAAAGATGGCTCAATGGGGCCGAAGCTGACGATCTCCCTGCCCCCGAGTGCAGCGTCCTGATATTGCGGTGTTGGTTGCATCAACACGCCATTCGCCGTTGGACCATGAAAGAGCGGGGAGAGGGCACAACTGGCTCTCTCCGGTTCATGTCCATTCCTTCTTGGGTAGAGGGTGCTGTTTTTGGACGGACTCTCGGGAGAGATGGTGTACTGCCTTCCGCCTGTTGCTCACTAAGCCACCGCCGACTTTTTGGCGAAGCGGGAGATCGCAATAGAGCTTCGCGGGCCATGTAAACCATTGGGAAAAGTACCCATGTCGATAAGCTGAAGCAGTCGTGATCTCTGTTCGGACCAACGGAGTTGGTGGGGGAGGCAGTGCTGGAGGCAGCAGCAATGGGAGTGCCATAAATACCAACAGTTGCAGAACCCTGTGCTGTCTCGGACATGATGCTGGAAACATGCGTGGGTGCCGACGGGGTGGATGGGCAAGCTTGGTCTAGAAGCGCAGTAGCTGAGGTTGGGAGGATACGGCAGATGCTGTGCAAGAATTCCATGACGTAGAAGCTGGCAAGAAGCTGAATATCTTTGGGAGGAAAACCGGACACACTGGTCTTCAGCCGGCCAAGAAAAAGCAAGTCTGCAGATCCTCCCGGCCAACGATGAGACGATGAGCCCACGACCTTCATCCGAGACAAATCCCCCAACCGCGTCAGCCGTCGGTCGCGGTTGACGGGCTGTGGGCTGGGAACTTGCACCGGGCCGGTTCAGCTTGTTGGAACTGCGATTTAGACGACACCAAGCGAGCACCATCCACCGGCATAGCTTCCTCCTCTGGTTTGTGATGAACCTGCCGTCGGGAGACTCTCGTCGAGACCGCTTTGAACATACGTCCAAATACCGTTGACAGCGCCCTTGGGAATATCGTAGTTCTCATTCTGTAAAAACACTTTTCATGCCACAACCACCCTCACTGCCCATGATTCTCGATTAGGTGGCGATGCTAGGACATAGTTGATATGGTGGATTTCTTCGCGGCGGCCTCCGACGGCTATCGTGTGTCCGCATCGGATGCGGCGACAAAGCCCTTGACGAGACCCTCCGGCCCCGAGATGAACATTGGGAACCCACAACAACTGCCGCCTCCGGATCCGAGCAATCCATATCCAGCCCGGGCTTGGCACCATTGCGGAAGGGATTGTGGACGGCGGGATCAGGCTCCGCCGAGGAGGAAAGCGAAGAAGAGGTGGCGGGCTAAGTATGCGCGGCGGGTGGGCGGTGCCGGAAGGCATCGGCGCCAGCGTCGGCGTCGGCATCCATAATAGCTCGCTCCCATCCCATGGAAGCGGGCAGGATTCAGCAAGGATGGCTTTCGTGTCGGTGCTATTTCCCCACTTGCGAGCGGCAAGTCGTCAACGGTGTTTCGTCGAAGCTGTCTGTATGACCAGGATGTGATTGGATTCATCCGTCTCCAATATACAGGCGATTGAGGGGCCTTGGTGGGATCATGGCCGGACGACAGCGGTCTGCTGAGTCGCGCTGAGGGCTGATGCTGGTGCGTTGCGTTTTCTGCGAATCCAACATCAGCACTGAATTTCTGTCGAGCTGGCGCCTCGGATGGTGTATCTGGTGTTCGTCCGACATGCTGATAGATATTCGCTAGTCAGCTAGCCGGATGATTCCATGCTAGCCCTAGCCTGAGCATGGCGTTCGTCGTATTGCTTCTCGACCAAGGTGCCCCCCCCCGGACGATGAAGCCATGGATCCGTTGGCGCTGAGAACAAACTGCCCAAGGCACGGTTTCTTAGGGGTCCTGATGGTTCAAACGGGTTCGAACTGGGCAGCAGCGGAGAGGGATTACCCCACCAACGGCACTGCCGACCGCAACACGGTGATGCGACAACAGGCGAGGGCGATAGGTGCCTGGGTGCCACAGAGGCCCTTGCGCTGATAGGATGACAGGGAAGCTCTAGCAGCCTGCGCCCCCGCTCCCTCTGCAAGCTCAGCCATCAGTGCTGCGAAAGCAGGTAAGGTAGGTAGGTGCACAAAGGCGCACTTGCTGAAGCCAGCCGCACAGTGATACGAGGAACGAGGGGGGAGGAGAAGGGCAACAGGGCAATTTATAGAGAGAAACTTTGTTTGCCTCTCCTTCATAAAGTCTCCAAGGTCCGACGTTTCCTGCTTGCTTCCGCATCCGGAGCTTGCTTTCACTGCCCACAAACAACCCTCCCAAAAGCTGAGGTGAGAAGCGCTTCGCTACGTCATATCACCAAGGCCCGCCGCCTGCGCCGGTCCATCAGCAGCAACAGTCAGCACATAATCCCGACTTCATATTCACGCAATTCGCCCACTCGATCGAACATTAACTTTCCACCTTCCCCCATTGATACCCCGTCCTTCTCGGAGCTCTCATTACCACCACAATCATGGAGTCTTTTGGTGCTCTCAAGCGTCGGACGACGGAGATTCTCCAGAACATCCCCCAGAATCTCCCCAACATGCCCAATGTCAAGGTGAAGAGGCCATCCCTCTCTCAGGGCTCTGGACCCAAGCCCATGAAGGGCACCTGGGAGAAGATTGACGTTCCTCCTCTGCCTCGCTCGTCTCACACCGTCAACGTCGTCAACGGCACAGCCTACATCTTCGGCGGCGAGGTCAGGCCCCGTGAACCCGTAGACAACGATGTCCTTGTCCTTCGCCTGCCCTACAACAGCGCTGGTGCCGACTACTACAAGGTCAAGTCCGCACCTCCGAAGCAGTACACCCCGCCCGCCGATGCTGCCCCCGCTGCTGCTCCCGCCCCCGCCGAGAAGAAGAAGGTCGTCGCGCCGACAATGGAGGAAAAGGCCGACCAAAAGGAACAGCTTCTTGACGAGGTGTCGTTGGCCTCCCCAGGAGCTGGTCCTGCTGCCGAAGAGAGTTCGTCCGAAGAGGAGAGCTCTGAAGAGGAGGACTCTGATGAGGAGAGCGAAGAGGAGACCACCAAGGACAAGGGCAAGGGTCTAGAAAAACCCGCTCTGGACGACGTCCCTTGCCCTCGAGTTGGTCACGCCAGCGCCGTCATTGGCAGCCGCATCTTCGTTTTCGGCGGTCGCGGAGGACCAGAGTTGGCTCCCCTCGAGGAGGCCGGCCGTGTCTGGGTCTTCGACACTCGGACCAACACCTGGACTTTCCTTGACCCCGTCCCCCCGGCTCCCGGCGTGACCAACCTACCCATGCCTTCACCACGAAGCTACCACGCTGCCGCTGCCACCGACCGCCCGCGTGATTTCGCTCCTAAGCGCCGGCGCCGTGCCCAGACCTGGAAGACCTGGGCTCTTGGGGACAGTTCCGAAACTGGCATCCCTCAGGCCCCCATTGTCGGCCATCTCGCCGCTAATGCCGTCGACGAGGAGGATGAGGGATACGGCACCTTCTTCGTTCACGGTGGTTGCTTGGCAGGCGGCGAGCGCACCAACGACCTCTGGGCATTCGATGTCCGAAGCCGTGTGTGGAGCCAGCTCCCCTCAGCGCCCGGCCCGGCGCGTGGAGGCGCTGCCATCTGCGTGAGCAAGAGCCGCCTGTTCCGATTTGGCGGGTTCGATGGCAAGAATGAGCTTGGTGGTCAATTAGACTTCATTCACCTCGAGATGGATACTTTTGATGACGGCGTTTCCAAGGGCGAGATCGCCGTCCACGGTCGCGGCGGATGGCAAAGCATTGTCCAGGGTGCCAACTCTGGCGAGCAGGAGATCAACCTTATTCCCGGCCAGACATGGCCCGGCCCCCGCAGCGTGGCTGGTCTTGAAGCTGTAACGGTTGGCGCCGGCCGTGAGTACCTGTTGCTCATCATGGGCGAGCGGGAGCCAAGCTCGGACGGCCATGCCGGCGCCGGCGCCATGTGGGACGATGTGTGGGCATTCCAGGTCCCGCCTCTCGGCATGACTGCCGCCAGCGTCCGGGATGCCATGTGGTCCAGCATGGGCTGGCAGACGGGCGAGGGCAGATGGACGCAGCTTACCATGGAGCCCTATGACGATGATAATGACGATGGTGAGCCGGCACCGCGTGGCTGGTTCGCGGCAGCGCCAATGGCCGACGTCGAGGAGAGCGGCGTGGTCGTCTGGGGAGGACTGAGCTCAGAGAACAAGAGATTGCGTGACGGATGGATCCTGAGGATCCCCGAGTGAGGATGAGACACATTGTCGGAAGACAGACCACCTATACTTCAGTTGCATATTCCCCAGCTTTGCAGAACAGAACAGAGCAGTTTTTGAACGAGTCCATAGCAATTTGACCAAAATTATTTTTGATGTCAAACAAAGAACAATGCACACATGATATTCGCGGCTTCGAGCAGGGGGGAAAAGAGGGCCGTGAGTCTCTAAAAACCGTCTTCCCATGCGTTACGAATACAGCACATCTGTGAGTTATATACAAGCCAAAACCACTGGCTCAAATTCCATTCGCCCGGCCCTATCGTCGGTATCTTCCATCATCCGCCCGCGCGTGCTTTTTCGCTCTCGCTGCCTCTCGTTCATCCCCGAACACCCCAATCTTCTATCTTTCTTTACAAATCGGGTCTCGTCGTCTCGGGTCCCCACGGCTCAGCGGTCAAGTTCGTCAGACCCTTGCTGTTCTCGCAAGTATCGCGGCCGCTGAGAGGGCCGGGCTTGGGGACCTTTGCAGCGGAGACGCCGCCGGTGGCAGAGGCGGTGGCCTTGAGGGCGTCGAGGAGCTGGACGGTGGTCTCGGGGGTAAGGTCTTCGTAGTAATCGTCGTTGATCTGGATCATGGGGGCGTTGACGCAGGCGCCGAGGCACTCGACCTCGAGGAGGGTGAAGAGGCCGTCCTTTGTGGTCTCGCCCTGCTTGATGCCCAAGTGGTCGATGATGGCCTTGACGATGACGTCGGAGCCGACGCCGCCAAGCTGGCAGGGGGTCTGTTTAAAGTGTTAGCATATTACGTCCATCATTCCGTTCGCACAATTCTCCGTGTCTGCGACATCTACTCGGCCCGGAGAGCATCTCGGCGGATATGATCGGAAGCCGGGGATAACTCACTGTTGTGCAAGCCTGGATGAAGTACTTTCCAACGGGAGTGCGGTTGTACATGGTGTAGAAAGAAGCGACTTCGAAGACACGCTGGGGGGGCATCTCGAGCATGCGGGCAACCTCGTTCATGACGCTGATGCTGGTGAAGCCGTGTTGGCGCTGGCCGAGGTCGAGGATGGGCATGACGGCGGCCTTCTTGTACTGGGGAGGGTAGCGCTTGAGGATCTCGGCGATGATGGCCTCATTCTCCTTGTTGAATTTGAAAGGGACATCGGCGTTGTTCTCGGGGGAGTCGCGGTGCTGTTGAGGGGGGAGCGGATGGTCAGCATTGCTGCGTCTTGGCATGTTGCATGCTGCCCTTTGCAAAGCAGATATCCCTCAATCTTCCTCCGCCCAGCGCGGCAGTTTGATCCACATCGCATATGCAATTGACGTGCCGGTCGGAGGGGTAGGAGGAGGAGGTCGAGGGACAGGCTGAGGGCGAGCGACTTACCACTTGCAGTGTGTCGCTAGGGCGGACGGCTGTGACGGAGAGGGCGCGGATCTGGGGCCTCGCCGCTCGACATGTCGAGCGGAGGGCTGATCTGAAGAAGAGAGGGGCGAGTCTGGAGGCCATTGCGAGGGATGGTGGCTGGCTCAATTGGCGATGGCGGAGGGCGTGGTGATGGGTTGCTGTTCGCTTCGGATTCCGGGAGATCAAAAGTCGTGAGTTGCTTGAATAATTCAATGTCTCTGATTGGTCTGTCCGGCTAATGTGCGGAAACCCGCTTGTGCAGATTTTCGTGGTGTCATTGAGTTTGCATAAAATGTTATGCATGTCCTCCCGGAGTAAAGCTTTCTCTCCACCGGTCGTCAAACAGCTCCGTCTTGTCTCCGGCTGCTGCACCTTCTATCATCGCCTACCATCTGAGGTCTGTAGGTCGATATCGTCAACTGCTATCTTCACTCACCAATGTCGACCCTGACCAAGATATTTTCGCCGAGAATAAAACATTGAGGCGAAGTCTTCTCAGTCTTGGTTGGCAAGGCTGATTCCTGTTTAGGAGAATCAATTGACTGGTGTTGCACGAGTGGTCAAATAACCTTTCCTTCACAGAGAAGAGAACAGAGACCACAAACCGGAAACAAGTAGTGGACTAGACTTGGACCTGGACTAACGAGGACCCATGACCCCAAAACCCGCATTATCGGGAGCCTGCCAGCGCCTGGCGTACACCGGATTGAACGGCTCGCAGACGCATGGCCGTAAGCATGATGGTAGCCACTGATAAATAATAAACAACCGAGTTTTACCTCGGAGAGAGGAGGCTCAATGGTGAGACATGGACTGCCTATCAGCACGAAAAAGTGTCACAGCCCAGACCTGTCAGCGAACGTCAAGGGTCATCTTTGCAGTTACCGATTGGCTATATGTAACCCTCACTCGGACTGCAGCTTTTGTACAACGCGCGCGGCTCTTCGTAACCCCAATTCGGGGGTGCCTATGGAAGGCGTTTGGTCATCCACGATGTTGGGCGGCGATGCGTTGGAGTTAATTAAGAAAGCGGTAACATCAAGTAGGGTCTCAAAGCTTGGATCTGCGCACGTTCTCAACGTCAATCAGTGGGCTCTGAAGCTCGTTTCCACATCCGAGACACACAATAAGAACAAGCGGCTCTGGTAGAAGCTCTCCCCCGCGTGCCGCATCATTGCTCCTCCATCTCGCATTGGAAATTAGCGAAAACTCCGGAGCCGGACCCGTTCTCAGCTCCGCACTTGGCAACCATCCTTTGGGTTGCGTGGCGGCGCCGTTCCAAGCAGGGTTGGCAGACAAACGACTTGTAAACCATTTCAGGACGTAACAAGCGGCCTTTCCCTCACCCTCCTCCCCCCTCACAGAGATAGCTTTTCCGTTAGCCGTGCCTCGGCTCGTCTCAACATCGTCCATTCGCGAAGAGAGCTCCCCCTAACTAACCCCCGCATCGACAGGGGTGCAATGCGGAGAATCTAGCGTCACGAAAGCATTGCCCCCAGGTTTAGATGCATCGAAACTGGCCTCCGAAAGCCACGGTCTCGCGGCAATTGCATGGCCATTGGCTCGCCATGGCGCGGGGATCTGGGGTTATCTCGTCTGGAGGCTGGAGCTCTTGTCTGCCCCAGGTCTGCTGGTCGCTATATGAAGCTCGCTAACCCTCGTCGTCCCTACCTGTCGTCCTCTTGCCTCTCAATAAATCGGTGTAGGCTAGATCGTGGTTGTTGGCTGACCGTATCTCTACTTTCCACTGTCAACTGGCCTGGTTCGTAAGTTGATTTTGGCTCACTCATTCACCGTATCTTGGAGCATCGAATCACTGACTCGAGTTCAGTAAACACAACGGATAGATTACTATATCGTCCAGATACGGGTCCTTCGCGTTCTGTTCAAACTGGGGCCTCAATAGAAGCTCCCAAACCTTACTGCGGCAGGGTCCCCTTCATAAGTGGCCGTTGCTACGCTCACAACTCCAACCGAGCACGACGTGTTCCGTCCCAAGTCCGGGGAAAGCTCCAACGATCCCATTGAATTTCGAACTTTTCCTACTAGTTCCTCGCTTCAAATAGAGCTCGCTCGCCTGTCGAAAAAGTTGACTTGACCCTATTCCAAGCTTCACGGCCGAATCCCACCAACACCACCGACAACTCCCCACAACCGCAACGATGCCGATCAAGTCACGGTGGTCGGAGCCGATTCCGAATTGCTCTCTCCAGAAATGGATCTTCGGCTCTTCCTCCGCGCCCCTCTCCGACCGAAAGGCTTTCTATGACGCCGACCGGCCAGAGACACACTACCTGACCTTCGCCGACTACCGCCTCGTCGCAAAGCAGATCGCCATCGGCCTGCAAAAGGCCGGCCTCAAGCCAGGCGATCGCGTGCTCCTCTTCTCGGGGAATAACCTTTTCTTCCCCGTTATCTTCATCGGCGTCCTCATGGCCGGCGGTATCTTCACTGGCGCCAACCCGACCTTCGTCCCTCGCGAACTCGCCTACCAGCTCAAAGACAGCGGGGCCGTCTTCATGGTTGCTGCCGAGAGCAGCTTAGACACAGCTCTCGCTGCCGCCAAGGAGGTCCAGATGCCAGCGAGCAACGTCTTTGTGTTCGATACTACAATCCCGGGCTCATCGCAACCCGAGAAGCCTGCGCGGGGTGGTGCTCGTCACTGGACGGAGTTGATTGCTCCAAAGGCCCAGGCAGAGAAGTTCGAATGGGTTGAACCCGCGGATGCGCGCACGACGACCTGCTGTCTGAACTACAGCTCCGGCACCACCGGTGTGCCGAAGGGCGTAGAGATTACACACTACAGTTACGTTGCCAACGGATGCGGTGTTGTCAAGGTCTCGGCTTTGGAAGAGGATCACGAGGCCTCTATTGCTCGCTCCGTCGGGCTCTGCTTCTTGCCTCTATACCACGCATATGCTCAGACATATTTCGTCGCCAACTTTGCCAAGCAAGGCATTCCAGTCTACATCATGACGGGCTTCGACTTCGTCAAGATGCTCACTTACATCCAGCGCTACCGCGTCACCCAGCTCGTCAGCGTGCCACCCATCTTGGTGGCCCTGACCAAGCACCCCATCACCGCAAAGTTTGACCTGAGCAGTCTCGAGTCTGTCGGCTCCGGTGCCGCCCCGCTCGCCGAGGACGTTGCACGACAGGCCGAGAAGCTACTAAAGAAGCCCGATCTTATCGTTCGTCAGGGTTGGGGCATGACTGAGGTGACTTGCACAGCCATGACGTGGGACCCCTCGCGGTTGGTGCGCAGTTCCTCCGTGGGCGAGCTCATGCCAAACTACATGGCGAAGCTCGTCGATGAGAGCGGCAAGGAGATGACCGAGCCCAAGGTACCCGGTGAACTCCTCGTCACGGGCCCCACGGTTATGCGTGGCTACTGGCGCAACCCGAAGGCTACCCAGGAGACTATTGACATCGATTCAGAGGGCAACCGCTGGCTGCGAACCGGTGACATTGCATACGTCGACGAGTTCAAGACGGGAGGCCTGTTCTACATCGTCGACCGCAAGAAAGAGCTTATCAAGGTCAAGGGGAACCAGGTTGCTCCCGCAGAGCTTGAGGCTTTGCTCCTCGAGCGTCCAGATATCGCTGATGTAGCCGTGATCGGCGTCACCATCAACGGTGAGGAGTTTCCGCGTGCGTACGTTGTTCGGTCGCCTGGAACCAACACCTCCGGCGAGGAAATTGCGAAGTGGTTGGAGGAGAGGGTCGCTAAGCATAAGCGCCTAAGGGGCGGCGTAGCGTTCACGGATGTTATCCCTAAGAACCCGGTATGACCCCTCCACATACGTGACTCCCCAAAATCCTATATGCTAACGTCTTTATAGTCTGGAAAGATTTTGCGGAAGATTCTCAGGGAGCAGGCCAAGAAAGAAGTAGGAGACGAGCCATTAGCTAAATTATAACGAGAGAATGTGGGCTTTTATATGTGTATGACATATACTTGGTAGATTCGACAGAGAAACGAGGGCTCCTCCGTCTTACGCGTCGTTTCATTGCGCAGGTCGAGGGAGAGAGCATTCGCATCCAAGAGTATTTACGTTTGACATAAGTCGTCTTCTAAAGTCGCTAGCTAGACCTATACCGTTCGCCACCTTCCTATACTTGAGGCTCTCGTGGCGCAAGCAAACCGGGTATCGTCCCTATTGTACAGGCCCCTTCCTTGGCTAAAGACCCATAAACGCCTCCTCCCTTTGTGTTTGAATATTTCAAGCATGCTCAACTCCCCATCGATATCCTGAACGGTAGTAAAATGAGGGGCAAAAAAGGTGGCAAGGATACAAAATGGAGAGATGAAAAAAGACGCAACCCTACTGCGCCCTGCCCAATGCTAATGCTAATGCATTTTGACGGAAGACAAAGAAAAATCCCCCAACTCACGGAAGGCAACGGCTGGCCTACCGTCTTGCCGCACGCACCGACTGGTGTTTGGAACGGCTTCCGCGCTGTACTCTGTCCCATCCCCATATCTGCCTCCAGTGTTGGTGGATTGGATGAACAGTGCGTATGAAACGCTGAGAGTAGAGTGAATCTCTCTGAGAAGCCCATGGGGTTGGTACTGGACGCGTTCCACACTATGAACCGACGGCCAAGCACGAATCCAGGACTGAATCCAGGGCACTCATATCTTGAGGATCGCCGCCTTCCCACCAGGGTTCCGAGTCGATTTCCATGGCATCAACATGCCCATTCGGCAACTGCTGCTTAGCTGAAAGGCCGGTGTCAACGCCCTCGGTCTTGGTATTGTCACCCAATCCCTCGAAGCCTGGAAGCCAGGTGTAGTCGTGCCAGTTTTCGAGCTCTCCCTCGCGATAGCCGTAAGAGATTGCCGTGTTGATGATAGGAAATTGCGACAGACCGCTGTCCGCCATTTCCAGGGCGATTCGAACATCGGCCATACCAAGCGGCCCTCGTTCGCTTGCAGCCTTCGACTCAATTGGCAGAAGACCGCTCTTGTCTCGGGTCATATCGCCGCGCAAAGCCGCGTCCTCCTCTTTGACGAGCTGACGGCGGTATTTATGCGTCTGAATCCAATTTGTGCCAGCACCGAAGCCAGCGTTGCCTCCTTCTCCTGGTCCGTTGCTTCT